ACTAGCACTTGCACAAAATTTAGCTGGCTAGTTCTCATCCTATAATTCGGCACTTTAAGAAAAAAAAAATAACCTGCCTGACACTCGTTACTTCAGGGAATGAGTGCAAGGTAAACATCGATGATGGCTGGTACATTGCGCTAGTGTAGTGGTTTCAATATTAGAGAACAAGGTTCACTTAGGGCCTTTTTTGGCCCTGTGAATTTCAGAAAAACTGAAACTGCTTGGTTTTAGTTGACAATGCATTAAATATCATTTAGACCTTTGATGACTGCGTATCTATCAAAAATGTCGTAATTTTCTGGCTAGCCTATGCATTAAGACGTCATGAAATGCGTCATTTTCCTCGTATCCTGAAAATTTCTACAAAACAGCCAATTTTTAAAGCTATTTTTCGATGTTTAATATAGGACGTAACCTCTGATCTTTAATATGCAACTATTAAATGATAGAACTATTTCTGAGGATTACAAAACCTGTTTTATTTTTTTAGATCAGAGGATGCGCTCATATTATTTCTCTTCTTTCTTTTTTAAACTAAAACTTGCATCACTTTATTGCATCTCTTTCGCTGTTTTAAAATATGTTAGATTCCACCAGAAATAATCGTCAACTTCTGGTCTATTGCTCGGCAACAGTAAACGACTGAAGTCTAAAACTTTCAGGACTGATAGTCAGTCATCAGTTTATTTGAATTGTGACAAAATCTTGTATTGCCGTTACTTCCGATCGTGACAGGAAGTGATGCAAAAAAGGGAATGGTTAATGGTTAGCACGTTGGATTTTCAGGCTGACGACCAGGGTTAAATCTCCAGAGTGTCTGAATTTCTTTTATAACGTATTTTCAGCTTTTCTTTTTTTTCAGAATCGGACGGAAGAGCTCTCATTGCTCGCAATGAGTTTCTAGTTAAGGTCTTCCGTTTCCAACGGAAGATCTTCTACTGATTCTGTTGTTTCTTTTCCACTATTATTATTATTTTTTTTTTTTTTTCTTACCGATTTTGTGCAGGCGATTTCTCGAGAACGCCTCGATAGATTTTCATGAAACTTTCAGCAATGATAGCAAATCATCTGAACTTAGGGCGTTTTTTTTATTTTGCTGTCGTCACTTCCGGTCGCGAGATACGGCCAATTTTCTTTTTTTAAAGTTGCATTTTGTCCAAAAGTGTTCTCAAAAACGCTTTGAGATTGAGTCTTGAAACTTTCAGGGATGATAGATTGTGACAAGTAGATTTGAATTTTTTGATTAGTGTATGTTGCCGTGACGTCCGTTGTCCACCGGAAGTAGTTTTAAAAAATGCAAATTTTAATTATTTTTCTTTTTTAAATGTTTACAATAGAGATAATAGAGACAAATAGACTGTTTCAAGTCATACTATTTCCACTGGAAGTTATTTCTTCCAAACCGGAAGTAAACGAGAAAATGCTCATTTTTCTTCGAAACTTTGAGGGATGACTTCTCCACACTCAGTGAGGAGTTAAATGTCATTTTGAGTACTTCCGGTCATACCGGAAGTGAATATAAAAGACCGGAAGTTGTTTGAAATTGATAGATTTTACTCTTTCATGTGTTGTTAAGCATATTTTGAAGAATTGATATGAATATTTTTTTTCATTTGAAGTTGTTCTACTCTCTTGTAATCAAAATTTCCCAAATCTAACAAAAGACCTACTCGTTGCTCGCAACGAGGTCTCATCTAGTTAAGGTCTTCCGTTTTCACGGAAGACCTTATAGTGATTCTACTGTTTCTTATTATTATTATTCTTTTTTTTGACCAAATTTTGTGCAGGCGATTTCTCGAAAACTATTCAGTAGTTTTCTATGAAACTTTCACAAAGAATGAGTTATAATATGAACTTTGTTCATCACAAGTAAAATTTG